TACATAATTCTTTGAGATTATAAGATATCGCAAATATTTTAAAGCTTCCGTGACTAATTCTTTGCGAAAGTTTCCAATATAGAAAATACATTCCATAAAAAAAAAAAAAAACGTACAATAAATTAACAACCCCAGTGATTATGCAATAACTGAGTAATTATCGAGTAACATGTAGTACATTAAAACCCAGAAGTTCTACTTGCTAATTAGTACACTTAGTACATACATTATTATTAACACCTGATTAAAGTTTCTACACATTTCCAAACGTTGAAACTTCAATAAAAGCTTTTCTATGATCCATAAGTACAAATGCAGAAATTGATTCAACGCGTAATGATCCACTGGATAATTTCATAAAAGTAGAATTAATTTCTATTTAATAGAAATAATTTCTTATGATGACTTTCATTAGATCCGTCGCTGAAGAAAAGCTTCACTACAAATTTCAGTATAAATTTCAATGTTTACTTTAATGAAGTCCCAGAGGAACTTTTAACGCCATCCTCACGGTAGAGGATTTCATAAAAAAAAAAAAAAAAACCGTAATTGGCTAACAATAATACAGAATCACCAGAACAGGTAATAAGTAGTACTTATCTTCTGTTAAGTTTACACCAGAGAGCACTGGCAGTTAACAAATGCATTAAAACACCGATAGCAATGATCAAAATGAGGTTGTTTGCGACGCTTATATCTACTATTTCCATCTCTTTGAGGAATTGCGTTGGCTTTTTGTAATGACAGTAGAACTCGTCACATTTCAAGTCCATCCGATCGAAACCGTATACAGTGTGTAGTAGACTGTGGAAACTGGCGCGAAAGTACGATATATGAAACATCCAACGGAACATATGTGGCGTGTCCATGTAACGAATACAGAATCCAAATACGGAGAACAATACGGCAATTATAGGTCCTGCGAATACTGCGATCTATAAGCAAAAAAGGAAAAAAAAAAGTTACACTTTCTTGTACAGATGAAAGTCACATAGAAGCTACATAGATTGATCAACTCTATATAATCATCCTGTGATAAATCATCCTGTTAATACAATTAAACATTAATCATTCTGATACTAGCATTTTAGTGTAGCTATTTTACTTGGACATGTTCAAGAAATTTATAGTCTTTATTTTTGTATTTTTGTATTTTGCTTAACGAATTGATCAAATTCATACTACACTGTGATATCACATTTTAGAGTTGTGAAGACTTATATAAATATTTATATACCTTCACTGGTGTGGTCGCGCCAATGAAAAAGCCCCATGCTTGAGCCGTTAAGCTAGCGGCTATACTGACGACCATGAAAGAAATTATACGTGGAGTTTCTACCGGTTGTCCTGTTAACCAGTAGCTCACAGTTAAATAGGTTGTTGCACATGCTGCCTGGAACGGTATTTCCACCAGTAGTAGACTAATATAGTATGGTGCTAACCGATACCACCGATTGAAATGCTCCCTACTGAGTATCCGCATTTCTTGTGGAACTGATAGCAATCCAAATATTCATTCTATTAATTCATATCATATATAATTTTTAAATACAAATGCAAATTCTCTTAATTACAACTAGATTGTAAATTTTTGCAAACTCTTTTGGAAATATCTTTTTATAAATGCAACTAAAGAAAAAGTAAAGAAAGCAGAATTTTGTTTTACATCCTAAATATTATAAATGCATTATTATTAATAATATAATATTTTAGTATGATACATATATGTATGTTATTATATATAAACATAGTACTTCCTATAATTATTCTAAATTGAGTTTCATCAAGAATGAAACAAAAATAGTCTGAATTTCAAAACTCAGATAACAAGGTTTAATTTATTTTAATGCTTTCATTGCATCATTGTATATACATCTTTTTACTTTCACATAGACGTATACGAAACGTCAAGTTTAGATCAAATTCACCTTGAAATACTTTCTAAAAAAAAAAAAAGACAAAGAAAACATAAAGAAGAAAGTACATAAATTGGTTAGGGCAATGTGACATCTTCATGGCTATAATTCAAACAAAAAAAGAAAAAATGAAATGTTTTATTGGTAAAAAAAAGGGAATATCAAGTCGAACAGGCTTTAATAAGAAAAAAAGGTCTCTGTGAATGGCCACTAGAGATCCTGTTAACTCTCCCGTGTATTGCGATTCAACCTGAGATATGATTACACACCATGCCTCCTTGACCTAAATTTTCTACTATTGATGGCGCGAAATGATAACATGACACAAAGGAAGGACTGAACCATGAAAATACAAT